AAATAAAACAAAAATTTTGATAAATCTTAAAGGCATTCTAATATGGTTCTTATTGCATTAATTAAACATATGATAAAAAAATTATAATATTTTTTTAACTAATTAAATTATAATATTCTCTCTTATTTCTTTCGATTTAAACATTCAATTGAACCTGATCCGCCAAGTGGCTCTAGTCATTTTTGTAAGATTCATACTCCCCCTCTCCAAGAGCAATGATTCGAACAGGTCTCATGACAAAAATGTTCAAAAAAAAAAAACATTCAATTAATTTTTTTTTCTATTTTACTCTATCCACAAATTTCCCATTATTTCTTTAAAAAAATATAACTTTGAAAAAAAAAAAAGCGAAAAAGAAAAACGTACGTCATGAAATTTTGATTTATAATAATCCATTCCAAAAAGAGGAAGAGAAAAGGGCAATTACGTGTGGAGAAGGAAAGCATTTGGGAATGGCTACGTATGTCCCATTGCACAAAACGACAAAAGAAAAGTAGCGCGCGTGCCCACTTTCTCAGATTCCTCACTCGCCTGCTAATTTGATTTGCCGAGGAGAAAAAGAGACGTCTCATGCTCTGTTATATGCTTGCTGTCTTTTCAGGGAGGTGGTGGGGATTGTTTTCAGACGAGCACCAACGCGACCCAAACCAACGAAAGCCTGATGGTGATGGAGCACCAGGTGGCCAAGTTGATGGAGGAGGACATGGGTGCCGCCATGCAGTATCTTCAGGGGAACGGGCTTTGCCTCATGCCCATCTCCCTCGCCGCCACCACCACCACGACCACGACCACGACCACGACCACGCGTCGTTCCGGTAATCCAATGATCAGCAACAATGCCGGCAATCCCAATGGGAACCCATTACTCAACGGGGAAGTGCCTTCCTCGCCCAGCATGTCTGTGTTGACCGTCCAGTCTGCCACCAAGGGGAACGGCGGCATCAATGGCTCCGTCAAGGACGCTGCATCCATTCCGAGCCGTAGTGTACCCGTTGACTGAGTTGTGATCGGTGTCTGTAAATGGGGATTGTGATGTGCGAGGGTCCAAAGTTCAAACTTCAAATTCAATGGGGGGCGTCTCTCTTCGGGATTGCTGTGCTAATTTGTCCAAAGACAGAACACAGACACCATATCTACGCACAATTTGGCTGTAACAACTTTACCGACGCCAACACTACCAAATTCAAGATGATGACTTTCACGCTTCTTAAAATTAAGGAAAACGAAGGAAAGAAGACAACAACATAAACAACCCTTTCTTAATTAATAACATACGGCTGTATAATCAAATTGGCAAACCTCCCAAACACATCCGCCTCAATAGAATCGTTAGGTTGATAATCTTTCTTATCAAGACAAACCAGGAACTGGGGTGACAAACAAGGTCCATCTATTGTTACTTCATCGAAGTCTACAGACTACAGCATCTCTTTAACTTCAGCAAACAACAGCTAAAAATGGAGAGAAGGATTCTGAAATTGTTTACTTAACGTGTATCATGTAGGGTTGAAATTACACAGTTCACCTACACCACGTTCATATCTATCTTGTCATTCATACCCACCTACACCTACCTTAGCAAACGGGCAAAATACACATGATAAAATCATACAGCAAACAGGAAAGGCAACGGTGAGTATTGAGACACATGTAATCTACTGTGTTTTGCTTTTGCTAGTGAGAACTAAAATGCCTTCAGCTAGTTAAGGTATATCTTTCATTTTAGTTAGATGAATCTTGCAGTTCCTACAAGTTGTTTTAAACTCGAATCATCTTCCTAACTCGAAAAAGAAAACACCTAGCAATGATCTCACTGGCTGAGCTAGCGACTAATGTGGACTAACATTTCATTCAGATTTTTCATTGCTGCCTGATTATATGTTTTTGTTCACAAAATATATTTACTTACATCAGCCACTGAGGGTGAGACGTGAGAGATGCGACATTAAGCAAAATAAAATAAGTAAATAAAATGTAGGAAGCACAGCACTTAAAACTTTTTGCATAACTAAGTACTTCGACACTTCACATGTAAAAATTTCTTCACAACCAATCCATCACTATTTCGTTCCTGGCTTGTTATTCTATAACAAAGAACAAAGACAACCGAAAGGCTTCGTCATAGCAATCACTTCTTACTCACTTCCTCCATTTATGTGAAGGAAGCATTTTTCAATTTCTCTCTAGTCATGTAATATTCTTGCCTTATAACTAAAAAGTTAAGAAAAGAACTATATTATCTTCTCTATTTAAATGATTGCTTGTTTAGTATTTGATCGAGCATTGCCATGCACATTGTTAATTATACTTATGAGCTCTAAATCTCTCCAGTAGCAATACTACCAATAAATTTTTTTTTTTTAAAAAGAAAAAAAGAATGGAACTGTATGGAGAAATGGAGTCCAAGTACACACAAGAGAAACTCACAAACCCAATATTTGGATAACAGACAAAAAAAAAAAGGATGCTCCAAACACATTTAGTAACAGACTCTCTAAAGCTTAATCACAATTACATAGGAAGCCGATAACTGCAATGTTTTATTTGTTCAAAAACATGGATTAGACATTTTAGTATCGTGCCAAAGCCAAACTGAAAAGTATGAAAGCATTGAGATAGGTTAAACGAATGAAAAGTACATAGAGATGGATGTTACCAGAATATCAATTCCAACATTAGTTATGACTATTATCAATTAATTCCAGTATTCAACAACAAACTAAAGGAAACAAAGAATCACTAACTTTGCAGCAAAAATTCCATGTTTAAGAACAGCACGCACTTGACTTGAATAGAGCAAGATTCACCAAAATTGACCACCATGATCAATTTATCCTCCTCAGGGGCCAAAGAATAGCATTACACCCCTGCCAAAAATAAGTAGACTAAACCTAATGAGAGTACTATTCACTAAAGACTCCTAAAATACAACTTTTGCTACAATAAGCATCTATAATCGATAAACATCTAAGTACAAGATGAATGATAGCAAAATTCATACTTTGCTGGGGTCAGAGTACTGCTCGTACTCCAATTTTATGCAATAAAATTCATACTTTGCTGAGAAAAAGGAACACGATGATCAAATAATCACAAGCAATCACATAAAACACAAGACTATAGACAGATGCAAAAAAAGACATACCTTTCACTTATTAAGCATATTTCCAAATTCCCACCCTAAAAAGGATATATCTATCTAATTCTTCCTTGAGGTGATCCTAAAATGTATTTAGCATATATATCCAAAAAGCTATTAAAGCAAAAGAACAAAAATCAATTAGATGGGGGCTTGAAAGTGTAAGGCTGAGGAAGCATCAACGGACCTCTCCTTGTCTCTTTATCATCAAGCAACCTTTGCATCCTCTTGTTCTTGCAGTACTGCCTATCAAAATGCTTCACCTACACGTCCCAAATCAAAAACCGAAACAAAGTTACGATTTTGCGATTAGAAAATTAATGGGTTCTTTTTCAATCTTTAATCTAATCATTATTTACCCAAGACAGACGGCAACTCTTTTCATACGCATCCCTGGAGGGTTTGCATTCTTTCGGGTACAAGAGTCCCACTGAGCCGATTTCGGTCGGCTTCTTGTCCGCCTCCTTCTCCAAACAAGCATAGAAAGCATCGCGAGCCTTTGAAGCACAGCAGAAGAAACAATCAATCTCTATGTTCAATTCTAAAACTTCAACAACAACAAAAAAAAACACACATTCTCAAATACAGTAAAATCAATCCATTAATGAAAGATAACCTTGTAGCAAGCTTGTCTAGCTTCGAAGAGCACGTCCGTATGAACTTCGTCGCGGTTTCTTGATGCGTAAGCCTCCAACGCCATGACTTCCCAGATGAAAATCACAGAGCTACGTTTTCCTCAGTCGTTCTCTTCCTTTCTGCTACTGAATGGAAAGCCGAGAGTAGGTTGAAGATGGTTGAATCGTCGGGCCTTATTACCCCCATTGGGCCACATTATGACAATTATCAATCTTCATTTCTTTTTGGTGATGGGTGGGCCTGAAGCATTAATGTCATGTTGTTTAGGCTGAGGACGATGAGTTCATTTGGGCTCGTCTCACCCTTTGAACCGCATCTCAAAATTGTTGGACTTGCTTACTTGGAAAGCGAAAGTACTTTCTTCTTCTTCTTCTCCTCTCTTTTTCTTTTTTTTTTTTTAGTGCATAAATTATTTTACAAAGGTTAAATGTCAATTTTAATCTCTCAATTTTAAAGTTTTACATAATTTTCATCACTTAATTTTTTTATGCACTTTTTTTTATCTCTTAATCATGAAAAATATACTTTTTTTAATTATTTCGTCAATTAATTTGTTAAATTTGTCTAAATATATACATTTTTAGTTCTTTAACTTTAAGTT